TAAAAAAGAGCCTGTTTGAAATAAAATAAATGGTTTCAAAAGTTATGGTGTGATATTTATACCAACTTACCTACTTGTCAGAGTTTGCACTACCTTTTTATTGTCAAACATAATATTTACCCATCAGTTTTTGCATGATAATTGCATTTCATTTTCATTCTGTTTAATATTCAACAAGTTGAACAGATAATCCACCCTAACCCCACTACTTGGTATCGTTATCGGTGAGTACCTAAACTGAAGTACTCGTACTTGTGCTCAGTCTTGAAAAAACTGGTATCGGGACATCCCTATCTATCACTMAGTCAGAAAAAGTGAAACACCCMTCTAAATTCACTGTTGGTGGTTATCAATATTGCACTTATTCATTGGGTAAAATTATTAATATTAATTTTTAATCATGCAGTTGAGGGTCATCATTATTTGGCACGATGACACGTGTTACAACTAAAAATAAATCAATAAACAAATATAAAAGTAAAAAGTACCCCTAAAGTCATTGGCAGTTAGTTTAAAAACAGGATAATGGAAGTAGTTAATGAAGAACCTTTCTCTGAAATAATTATTAAATCAAGTGTTCATTTATGTAGGTAGGTAAAAGTAAGTTTAACAACCTGATAAAACACACCAGAACGCAGGAAATGGCATATATTCTGTTCATATTTTTCTGGGGGACGACCCCCCAACAATGTGTCCCCCCCACTTTTAAACATGTTCCTGGCCACCCCTGTGCGAGTAGTGGTCCCTGTCTGGCCACCCTTAGATAAATGTCTAGCTCCGCCACTGCTTTCATCGTCATTGAGATGAGTGACGTCATAACGCTCAAAGCCAGTGAAGGCTAAGCTAACACTGCTGCGGCTAGCAGGTAGCAGTCCGCTCGTAAAAACAAAACAAACAAGCACCCAAAACCTGCAATTCTCACCTTTCCGTCTGCATCTAAAACATCACTGTAATCTTCGTCTGCTCCGGAGCTCGAACCTTGATCCCAGTCCGGGTACGGGTTCGGAAAGGACCGCTCCTCCATTTCTGCATCTGCAGCTGACAACCTCAGCCTCTTGGATACATTATCTCCCATCACTACGGCGGCCCGGAAGGGAAAAAAACCCTCCACCGCACTGCAGAGAAAAATAAAAATATATTTATGATCTCATGCATAATACGCAAAACTGTAGTTGTCACAGTACAGAGACAAAAACTATGTCAAAATTGCATACCATTTAATATGTGTAAATATATATAAATAAAGGCGCAGAGAGAATGATGCTTCGGACTAATGACAGGTGGAGCCAGAACCGAGCTTACCCAGATAATGATCTGCAGCTTCCTTCTCTCGGTCTGTCTCCCGGTGGTTCCGGTGTGCAGAAAGCAGCAGCTGCAGTCAGCGCGTGCAATCAGCCACGTGCATCTTTTCCCCCTGCTGCTGCTCTGACGGGTCCCGCTGCCTGTCCCAGGCTCAGGGCAGGTCCAGAGACTGCAGAGGATGTCCCCATCCACCGAACCAGTCAGCGTGACGACACCGAAGCCCGTCAGTACCGGCCAGTACCGGGTGGGTGTGAGCAGTGACAGATGGTGCCGCTGACTGGATTATAGAAAACAAACCCACAGCCTCCCCTTATTGGACATAAATCACATCCCCTGCTGCTCTGTTCTGTGGCTTCATCTGAAACTGTTTTCACTTTAAATGTTCTTACAACCGGTGGATTTCCAACACATTGTGTCAGTATCAGAATTATAACTTGTTTTCTGTTTGCTGTTGCTTTGGGGTAATTTGAGGATGAAGAATTAATGTGAGACAAGCTGTGCTGACTAAAACCAAAATACCATAAATATTGGAAGATGTACACAACCAGAAAAAAAGCCTCTCTTTAAACAGGGGTGGGAAGTAACAAAGTAAATTTACTTGAGCCTACAGTTTCTGAGAATTTGTAATATTGGCTACTTGACCAACATTTTTTAGAAAAACTTTTCACTTTTATTCAGTAAAATCATACTTCCTCCTCCACTACATTTTCTCAGGGTTCTGCTTACTGGACCAAAATAGTTTAATTTGTTTGCYGATGACACACTTTTGTATTCTGGTGAAGATATTGGAGAAGATACAAATTCATGAAAACATAAACTTGGTTTCAACTTGAAGTTATTGAATTTGGATAAAACAAACTACATGATTTTGGTATCAAAGAAAACTATTGATGTCCCATTTAGAGTTGATGCTGTGTGAAGTTTTTGGGTGTCGTCGATAAAAAGGAAATCTCACATAAATTGCTGAAGAATGAAATTAGAAAAGTCAGTTGCATTGYTGTATGAAGTTATTGAATGATAAAGCGCTGTATATATTGTATAATGGAAAAAAAATCCACAGTGAATTATTTTATTTTTTGGAAAAAGCATGTAAAACAATTACAAATCCTATATTTGCTTTATAAAAAAGAGCTACAAGAATTATTACTAGAAAACATTATGGACACCAAACCAACCAATAAGTACATTATTTTCCATCCATTATCTTCTGCTTTATCYGAAGTCRGGCCRCGGGGGCAGCAGCTTGAGCAGGGAAGCCCAGACCTGTTTCTCCAGCCAGCTCTTCTGGGAGGACTCCAAGGCGTTCCCAGGCCAGCCGAGAGACATAGTCTCTCCAGTGTGTCCTGGGTCTTCCTCTGGGTTTCCCCCCAGTTGAACATYACCTGAAGCACCTCCCTAGAGAGGCGTCCAGATTCTATGACSCAAGAGCCAGCTTTGGTAGGCCAGGGTCAGAGCGCCAAAGTCCCCGCCTTTGGCTCCTGCCCATGGCATCATGCACCCGAAGGCAAACCAGCACATTAGGGCTGAGCCTGGCCGGGTCCCATGGGTAGAGACCAGGCTACGGGGCGTTTGCCGGCAAGCCCCTCCCTCAGGCCTGGCTCCAGGGTGGAGCCCCTGCAACCCACCCACCCTACATTATTTTATCAGATGAATTTATTGAATTTTTATGATTTAGTTGATTATATCTTACAGTTCATGTATAGGGCTCATAAAAATACAGTACATTACCTTTATACATCTAATCAAGAGTTGCTAWAACTTTAAAGGAATTTAGATTTTTGTAAAACTGCAATTTCGAACCATTTTGAAGGAAAGAAGTGCTTTGATTCAAGGAACACGATTGTGGAATAATCTTGAGATTGTTGCTRAAGTTTGTATATTTAAGAGAATGATAAAGGCTAGTTTGTTGAAGAAATATAATATAAAAAGTGTGACATGAACTTTTTGTATTTATTGTATACAGATTTCCTTTTGTTTATTTTAATGAATGAATAAAATAAAATAAAATGAAACCTGTTTCAAGAGTTTTTGTCCTAAAAAAATCCAACCAGTCAGTCTAGTGAAACTTTCTTTATTCACACTGTTTTCTACATGATCTATGTTAGAAGGTAACAGAAGTATCAATCCTCTAGTTCCTATGTTGATCTCTCATTCAGCTGTACACGCTAAATTAAAAAAAAAAGAATACATTTAGAAATGCACAAGCCTGCGAGCTGAGAGGTGAAGCGATGGTGAGGGGTTTCTGCTTCAGTCCACCCCCTCCACTCTAAACTCCTCTAGTTTTGTTTTTTTTAAATTTTCTGTTAAACCAAAGGAACATACTGAAAAAGGCATCTGCAYCCAGAGCTCAGAGGTGGGCCAAGACATTTGGAAAGCTCTTTGACTGTACAGCTCACAGACAACAGATCACAGGAGAAAGAGGAATACTATACAGACACAATACAACCTGACAGAAAGTATAGTCAAAAAGAACATCTGAAGCACTTCAGAGAAAAACTGCAAACCTGGAGTAAACAAATCAAGAATATTTACAGTGAGGTAAAACACATTGGTCTTTAATCAGAGGTATTTTCTTTTTCGATTAAGTGACCTTTTTAAGATTAATAACTGTTTGTATCTTAAGTTATTTCTCAGCTTTTGGATGACATTGATATAAAGCACGTAATGCAGACACATGAATGATCACATGCAGTCCTGTCTGTCCAAGGAGAAAGGTTCAACTGAGGCACAAAAGAAAACATGATAAAGCTCTCTGCTACGGTTGTTGCCACAGAAGCCTCACTGCAGCTCAGAGGATCAGATCCAACCCTCTGATGATGATGATGATAGCAATCAGAACACAACCCTTATCTGACTGTTGGTCAATCTGTGAAATCCACCAGGACACGACTCAACCCAACTTTGCATCAGAGAAAGACAAGTGCTGCCTATGTCCTTTGTGCTGCCAGGCTGAGATTGGCAGTTTGTGCATTAAACCTGAGCTATAGACCGGAAAGTCAGGCAACAAAAACGGCTACAGCAGGTTTTCTCTGTAACATTTTTAAGTCTGATTAGTGAAGTAAAATACAACCGAGGAGGGTAAACTTCCTGAGACAAGGTGTGGAAATACTTCAATAATGTTGGCCGGCGTTTATGACACRTACATCAATCAATGTCATGCCTGCTGGAGAAAACTGCAGCCGGTCTGAGCTCAGTCCCTGTACCTCGGCATGTTTTCAAAATAAAGTCCAAAAGCTTCTGCTATTTCTGATCTGCATCTATCGAGGWGACGGTGCTGAAAATCAGACACTACAAAGACACGTCCACTGTGTGTCCAACAATGTTATAGTCAAACATGTAAAAACCTGCCGAATATTAAAAATAAAGTTCCTGTAGAACCCTGGTTGGACTTTGAAACATGTCTTTCTAGAACAATTTAAAACAAGCGCCAATTAGAATTTATGCTCCTCATCTGCTTCCATCACATCTTGAGTACAACACCAAGAAAGGCCTCTGTACTGTTCAACTGCACAGCCCAAACCCTTGTGACCACAGGGGTCTACCTGACATGAGAGACCTACCAAATTGAAAGGAACTACCCAACCAAAGGGACCTACACAACCTGAGGGGTAAACCTGATCAGTTGTCCACTCAACWTGACAGGATCTACCCAACCTGAGGTATCACCTTGATTGAACATACTGGACTGGAAAAATGTTTCATATCTGTGAGGTTTACTGACTTAACAGGCCCACCCAATTGAAGGAATCTACCAAACCTGAGGGGTCTACTTTAATCTGAGAGGTCTACCAACCTAAAACTTCCACCTAATCAAAGGAATCTACCAAACCTGAGGGATCAACCTTAATCTGAGAGGTCTACCTACCTAAGTGGCCCACCCAATCAATAGAATCTACCAAACCTGAGAGGTCTACCGACCTAAGACGCCCACCCAATTGAAGGAATCTACCAAACCCGAGGGGTCTACCCTAATCTGAGAGGTCTACCGACCTAAGATGCCCATACAATTGAAGGAATCTACCAAACCTGAGGGGTCTAACCTAATGGGAGTGGTCTACCTACCAAAGGATTTCAATGAAACTTGGACATAGATGGAGCAGTCGGGGCTSTAAGTCTGGGCTGCAGTGAGGGGCGTGGAGGTTAAGGGAGGGCCTCCTTCTAGTTGTAGATGTTCAATTAATTCCACAACATGGAATGACAAAACAAAAAGACAAGAACTGACCAAAGACAAAGATTTATGTTTAAAGACCACCAAAGAACAAGACATTCATTTAAAAAAACTTGGTTTGAACATAAAAGTTAAAGTCTGCTGGTGACTTTAAGACAGAATGAAGGTTGTTACAGTAGAGGCGTAGCAGAAGTGCTGCTCAGTTCTTGTTGTTGTTCATGTCCCAGAGAATGACTTTGCTAATGGAAAACAAAATCCAGCCTCAGTTCCACCTGAAAGCCCAGCAGATCAAACCCAGGACTTGTTAAAGGGATGTCTGACATATTTTTTGTAGAATTTAAACCCATACAGCTTCTTGAATCCATGACCTCCAGGTGGTCCCTATCTGGCACCAGAAAGCCATAGCAGTTTGACCACTTTTGCTTTATAAAAAATAAAATAAAATAATATAAATGAGGATATTTGTTTACTCCAGAGGCTATTTACAAAACTAAAAATGTCACTTCTTCCAACTCYTAACCATTTCTACATAATAAAGAATATTTTATTCACAGGGTTGACTCAGAAAAATTAAAATACACTCTGGTTGGAACTGAACTTGTTTTGCTTCTGTTAATTTTTCTTAGAAGACAAAATGACATCACTGTCTGCAGCTTGTAGCAAGCGATCATGGAGGTGTCACATTCATCGTCAGTTGGTTAACTGAAGTGTTTTTTTTTTTTGTTTGCTTGTTTTCTTTTTTAAATTGTTTTCAGAGATGTAGCACCATTTATAACTAAAAAGATGTCCAGCAGAGGGAGTCTCGGTTTTGGTTTCACTGATCTAATTGTCAAGTTTCCCCATTCGTGGGTCACTTTGCCTAATTTAGGTGACTCGTCTTCACCAGATGATGTTGGTTAGAAACATCTTGATCCATCTAGAGAAAACAGACCCCCACTAACTAAAAATCATAAAATGTAAAGAGGTCTGATTGACTGGTATGAAGGTTTAGATGGTCTTTACTTGAGACATAAATCTATTTAGGTAGTACATCGCTGGACTGTGAATGTAGGAGACTAGTTTGATCTACTGGRGGACCATTTTGAGATTAAGATGGGCAATTTTGAACCAGTTTTTCAATTAACGTATTATTGAAGCAGCTTATAGACCTAGACATCCGGGGCTGTAGCCTCAGTTGCTTTTGAGTGTCAAAATACATCTCTAGCTATTGAGGCAGGTTCAAGAGGCACAGGGCAAGACTGAACAATTTTAAAAGAAATTTTGCAGCTCAACTTTTAAAAACATTTTCAAAATGAAGTGACAGGACTACAATCCTCTGCAACACTTCAATACACTTTTGGAGACTCCCTCGCGAWTGGGGTTTTGCAAAAATAGTCGCAGCCCAGTGAGATACTTCYTTCTGCTGCTACCTTTAACGTTTTTTTATCTTTTGTTAAATAAAAATGGCACAGCAGTTTTCGTCTAACAAAGCTGCAGATTTTTTGTTAAAAGCTCGTAAGTGACACAAACTGCTGATCTTCCACAGACACTGGCTGTCAAGTACAGCCATGATGATGATGATGGGTTGGCACAGGCAAACTGAAGATATGTACATCCAACCACAGCTCAAGCATCCACTCAGGCAGCTGGGTGGTCAACCAAGTAGCAGCACATTAATACATCATGAATCCATGAAGAAGAACAATGGAGACAGACAGACGTCAACATCCAACCTGCCATACAGGTAAACTCTGAGTGGGACACAAGTGCACTTATTGCTGAACAGAGACCGATCCGATCRCTTCCTGTGTGTAACTTCAACCTGCTTTAGACCTGCACATTACAAACCAAGTGCTTCTGATAAACATTATGAACATAATTAATCAAAGCAGTTTGCATGTATGGCAATGCTGGCAGAAAAATAAAATAAAATAAAACACAGGACTGAAACAAAAATCAGGTGCTACATATATCTCTTTTGTCTTTTACATAGAATCAAACTACATTTATCATAGTAATCAATCAATTTTATATATATTTATATATATGCATCTTTTTTTTCATAAAAACTATAAAAAAGTCATAATAAGAGCATATACTGACTCTTACGTGTTGGTCCCTTAAGGCTTGTTAAGCTGATGTTTCTGTTTGTTGTAAATGTACATTCTGATAGAAAAGACCGTGCAACAACAAAAAAAGAACAATAACACACCTGGAAAACCTATGGCTTAGTAAATATCCATTTGCTATATTGAAATCAAAGAAGCTCACTGCTTTTTGTTGTTGTTTCTTGCAGGGTTGGTGTGTGCTGCTGCACAGCCAGGGGGTTGATGTTTGTTTGTTTGTTTGTTTTAGGGAAACATCAGTGATGCTGACAGGTCTTTGTGTGGTGATGTTTGGAGGCAGCGCAGTTCCAGACTCTGAGAGGACGAGCTGGGTAATGACTTGTTGCTGAGGTGGTTCAGGGCGAAGTCGTAACAAAATGGCACCAGAGTGTCGGCTGGCTGCAGCGGCTCAGGTGTGTGTTTGCTCTGTGTGTGTGTGTGTGTGTGTTCCCTGCTGCTACCCCTTCGTACAACTTGGGTGTGCATAGTACAAGCTGGTTCTACTCTAGGCTCCTGCAGGCCCACACACACACAGACACACACGCACACAGAGCTGTGCACAGCAGCCGACATGAGAGGAGTTGGGTTTTTWAAGCACTGGCACTTTCCGGTAACAGCTGGMTTGGAAGGCATGGTGGCAGCTGATTGTTGTTGGTCTTGCTGTTTGTGGTTTAGCAGAGCAGAGTATAGAAAATAGACACGTTCATTCATCTACTGTATATTGCATATGTTGCAGCATGTTCGCCAAAAAAGAAAAAAAAATGAATGAGGTCACCATGTCCAGTTTAACTCGGCAAAAAAAAAAAAAAAAAAACAAAGAAAAAAATAACAACAATAATAGAACCCTGCCATCAAAAAGCAAATCCAGAAACCGTGAGCGGAGTGGCTCCCTGAAAGCACCAGGAAACTGAACTCAACATGATGAYGAGACCAGGAGGTCCAGGCCTCATCTAATGGAAGCAAACGCTACAGTAGGGCTGCAAACTCCACATACTGAACRTCACTGTCGGCTCTCTGCTGCTCCTTTAAAGGGATATTACAGATGTTTTGTAGTTCTGAACTTTTATCATCTCACCTGTTAAAGCCTTCTTGAATGACCTCAGCTGTTTTTTTTTTTTTGTATTTTTTTTTTTGGGGGTGGGGGGGGTATGTATTGTCCAGGCATATAGTTCAACTCTTTACCACATTTAAGTAACTATGTTACCTTCAGTTATGAAAGTGGATATATAAAAAATAAATTAGATTTTGCATCATTTTGCTTCATGGAGGGTGCTCTTAGGGCTGGGCCATACAGTATCATATCGTTCACGATAATACCGGTAAAAAAAAACTTGCCCAGGAAAATGAATATCATGATATGCTCACTTCATGACTAACGTCATTCTGCCCATGTCGGAGAACCAGCTTGTTTTCAGTTGCGAGACCGCAACAGAAAACTGGGCAGCCCAGTCTGATACATGTTTAAACAGACGCTGCTTTCAACAAATCAAACGCACCCCACGGCTTTATCCAATCAGAGCAGGGCAGGTCTTTCTGATGTCGACTCGGTGCAGCAGTCTGCAGGATGAACACCGGCCAACCTTCAGCTCATGTGTCCTGAGCGAGCAAAGCCCGTCCTCCACACTTTGCTCCCGAACTACCCGAGACGTTGGTATCTAAAATCTAACACACTACAAGTTTATGTGTTCAGAGCTTCRTTATCTAACAGGTATGTGTAACTTTGCTCACGGGACCAAACTCCTCTCCTCGACAGCGCGTCGAGGTGCGCAGAGGCTGAGTTCTGTGAGAGCTGCTGCTCTTCCAAAATATTCACTCAGTTGGACACTTTGCTCCGGTATAGAAAAGATGAGTCTCCGYTTAGCGTTAGCCCCCTCCCCACCCCGCAAAAAAAAAAAAAAACCCAACCAAACAAACAAAAAACGCTATGTTCCTTTTGTAGTTTATTTTTGTAGCTTATCTTAAGTTTAGAACCATACTGTGACTRAACTTCTCTGTGATTCAATGAATGGTCAAATATGAAGAATAAATTGTATTAAATGATTATATGAGCTCTCCAAATAATATAATCTTTTTGAAAGAAATAGTTATYTTAATAGATWAATCAATCAGTCTAACAAAACATGTAGTTATTTTGTGAAGTACAAAATACACATTTGGTATATATTTTTAAATATAAAATTATAGTACATACATAATGTGTGTGTTTGCAATGAAAAGTTATGGAGATGGTTAAATAACTGTATGACTATATCTGACTCAAGTCTTGCCAAAAATGTTTATTAAATATATTAAAAACACTAAAATGACAAATATAAACTACACAAAAGCTGTTCAAAATCTAAACTGTGAACTTTGATTAAAAACATGGACACAGTGTRTAGTATTATGACTATACTATACCGTGTACTTGTGTGTGGTGGGTGGTAAGAGTTATCGTAMATTTATCGTTATTAACTGGTCAATATATCATGATATTGATTTTAGGCCATATCGCCCAGCCCTAGGTGCTCTGTGAAGCTGGGTACAAATAGGTGGAGCTTTGTACCAGCAAGCGTTTAGGCAGCTCCACATGGCTACAGGAGATTCAAGGATTTGGATCAAACATGCAACAATGAGTCAAAGCAACACTCTGGGTGTGGTTTTGACGCGGGAATGATATTGTAACATGATGTAAGCTCAAAAAGGTTAAATCTCCACACAGTTTAATTCTGACAGGACTGATGAGCAAAACTAAAGTCGGCCCTCTTAAAACAACTATCGCAAAAAGTTTAACACTGAAGTCAGTTTCACATCACACGGTTATTTGCGTAAATAAGAACAGCAGCAATGGGAGAGAGTGGTCCAACCTTTTTTAAATGTTCATAACTCAAACTAGAAGTTCAATCTGGTCAGAATTAAACTGTATTTTTCCAAGCTGAGGCCAGTCAAAGAGGCAATATTTAACCTTTCTACAGAACCTCACTTTAAAAACCACCCTAACGATGAATTAACGAAACAACAGAACTAAATTAAGTGCAGGGACACCGACCCAACAGGCTGGACCTGCACCCCTGGTTACTGTCATGATGTTGCTTCAGTCTCGGCCCGACTGTGTTCAGACTGATGTGGGTAAAACCTGAAGTTTAGGACCATCTGTCATCACACTCTTGTTTGAGCTGTGTGTTATTGTCAAGACAACTTTAAAAAACGTTTTCGCTTAGCTTTATTACACTGGTCATMCTTCTATCTACTGTTTTCCTGAAGCCCCGCAGAAGATGGGAGAAGTGAGTGCTAACTTTATCTGAGGTTCACGTGTTTTAGTCTGAAGCGGTTTAACTAACCCTGAAGTCCCGTCTAAAGATGCTTTGTTTTGGTCTGGTCCAAACGGCAGCTTGCAGCCCTACTGAAGAGGAGCTTTTTCCCTCTGAGATGAAGAATGAAACAGTGATTTACTAAAGGAGCGGCTGATGAAGATGAAGTCGAGGGCGGCCTCTTGCTGTAGGTGTATTAAGCGGTGGGAATAAAAGTGAGAATGAGAGGAAGCTTCCTTAAACACTTCCATCATCCCTTTCAGGCACAAACATCCTTCATCTGATCCATCCATCCAGTCATTCGTGTGTGTGTGTGTGTGTGTCTCAGCTCAGTGCAACTCACACACACACAACAAACCAGATTCCTCAGTCAGCGAATGAAGGCATGAAATGAAGTGAAGGATCATCACCAGGACAGAGATGTTGTAATGCTAATGATAGAGGTGTCAGTCACAGGTGTGTGTGTGCGTGTGTGTTTGGTTGTTGTGTCTACATCTTGATTCCTTCTTGTTGGCTGAGTTGAGACAAAGTTTTCTTGATCCTGAGAGCGGTGAGACGCGCTGCTCCGTTAGCGTACCAGCACTCCCTCATGATCTTCGCCATGACCCGAAGAGCCTGCAGGGACAGAGAGACAGAGACATGAGGACAACGTCCAAGGAGTGTCCTGCGGGTGATACCGGGCTGCTTTTTCTGAGTAGCCTCCTCCGCGCTCGACAATGACACCCCAATGCACTTGAAGTGTAACTAACAATCATAACCCCGCCCCCAGACACATTCAGAAAAAATTCCAATGAAGTGGGCGGTGCCAAGAGACACCGAGGGGCACAGCCAAGTGTGGCGATGAGCGAGGAGGTTAGGACGAGGGAATGTGACAGTTAGGTTATTTTGACAAATTAGCCTGAGCATCGTTCTCAGACAGCTCAGTCCTGGACTAGTTTCACTGCAGTAGATTGTTCACCCTGCTCATCAGCGGAGGTTGAGCGGGAGCGAGCCTTGTTGGATTGAGACTCAAGGTGTTGACTCAGTGACGCACAAAGCCAGTGCTGCCGAGGCAATGGAGGATGTTGTGACGCTGGCAGCATCATTGCTAACATGAGCTAATGTTCAAAGCAGTAACAAACCTTCATCACGGTGCTCGCTATAGATATATAAAGGCTAGATAAGCTGTACCCGCTGTTAGCCAATGGAGACCAACGTCCTCACATGGCGGCCATCTTTGGTCGGGGAGCTTGCCCACTCAACATGAATGTGTGTGGTGTATTTACTGTTTAAATAACCATAACTTGGTCAATTTTGATCAGATTTTCAAACAGATTTTTTGTTGTAAAGGTGAGACATGTTGTTATAAAATGGCATACTTATAATGGACATTCATTTAATAATTATGTTATTTTGATAGGTAAAGTAGTGTCAATATACTGTATATACACAGAATACATTTAGGTTTACTTTTACAGGTAATTACTAATAAAAATAAAAAGCAAAGCTATACACAAGTCAAAAATAGTACAAAATAGTACCAGCAGTGATAATTAATATGAAAGAACCCTGTTTTATATATTTTACATATTTTTTCCTTAGACATGAAACCTTTGCTATGAACCTTTATAATTCTTTTACATAATAAAATAGTGCCACACACACACACACACACACACACACACACAC